TCGCGAGCATTTGATGGCGTTGGTCATATGTTTTCTGAAATTTGTTTTCGAGCAAACTTTATTATGAACAAATATCGATGTTTCTTCAGTTCGTTACTCTTTACAGATTTGGTAGAGTGAATTTCTACCTCCTATAAATTGTGTTGGTTAGCATCGATCAGTCAGCAAGTGGCTGTGATTGACAAGCAAGTTATCGCTTCAAAAGTGTACTTCTACGATAGACCGTTTCCCTTGAATTTTTTTAACTAGCTATCTATTTGACTTCTCTAGCAGTTTGAGGAATCATGTTGAACTTGACCCCAGCACTCGGGAGTTAACTCATACATGGACCTTGCAACTGACAGGAGGCATAAACTAGACAATCGGCAGCTTGTCTACCTACATTTATGATTGTAATAGAAGATGGGTGAGCATTTGACGAACACGAAACACAAAACGAAACAGAGCCGTGGATAGCAATACACAGGTTTCTTTGACCTATGAGCCGAACACAAGATGGCTCAGTGTCACAGGCAACTTCACTACAATCATAGTAGAAAGCGGTGAGAAGCCATCTGAGGTCGTGGCACATGTCAGAGCCATAAGTCCATTGCACTCACCATCCCGATTCTGGCATCTGGGTATCCTGAGGGCAATCCGTGGAGTCGAATATATACAAATTCTTCCACGGTTCCAATTTCGATTCAAATTCGGTAAGTTTGCATGGATTCGGGACTTTAGAGCATGGCGACACGATCGAACAGACAGTCGCACTAGACAGACTTCCAGGCAACCACTCCAGCGATCCGTCGATTGTGCTTGAAGAGGTAGATCTATGAAGTCTTCCAACGCGAACCCACTATTTTTGGAACCCTTTCCAAGCAGATTCCGTGCATGTACTCTCATAGGCAACTACTGACCCTACAATGACAGGACCACGCGAGGACGAAACCTTAAATCCTGGATCTGCACCATGGGAGGCTCGTAGGGCTGGCTACTTATTCAACTCCCAAGTTCCACTTTCAGCGTCTCAGATTCACACATCTCTAGGTTCGTACGTGAAGTTTAAAACTTTAAATGACGTCGATTGTGGTTGCTTTGAAGCAGAGGCAGAGGTCTACTACACTGAATTTAGAGCGCCAACAGATCCGCTACAAGGTCTTCCTATCTCAAAGACATCCATATTCGGGGGCATTTGAACGAATAGATTGGTGTATGATTGTGAGTCTGGCAGCACACCTATCGTGTCATTCATCAACTCTTGGTACTAGCATGTAAGAGGATTTTGCGATCAGCCCGTGTCCTAGGAAACTAGGCGAAGTATAGCCTGATACAATCATACAACCCGTCAGTCCAGCCTTATCATCACATTAACGGCCGTTCCGTTTTCCTAGACGGGCAGATACGGCCATTTGGTCTTTGACGTATGGTGTGGGGAATTGATGTCCCACAATACCAGGTGGTACCCAGCCTCCTAGCGTTTAGGAAGAAACTTATCAAACACTCTTATGACTCGATGTCATCTTGTCCCATCGAGTTCTCTTGGCTCGGATGGGGCTGGTCTTCAAGGTCTAGTTTTAGGCTTTCGATTATAGTTCACTTAAGGTCAGTACCGGAAAGTCGCTTCGGTATTTCGTGATCCAGCGAGAGCTTGCACGAATTATCAGATCCGCATCGTTATACCGTGACGTCAAGTCGTTGATCCGACGTAAAAAGTTAGACGTTGTTGATATCAAGTGCTATTCAAATACCTGTGACAAGTTCGTTGAGATATCAATGCTCGAGCGTCAATTGTTTCTTCCCAATCGCATTCTAGTCTTACTTGCGGCTTCCTATAAGCCTCCCACTTGTATTGGTTCAATTGCGTCTTGACATCATGCTCTCATCGATGAGCCATTTCGCATTTGCTCTTCTCTTTCTTCTCCAAGCAAAACCTTTGGCAGCGCTGCCGCTTCTTCAGGCACCAGTTTCAGGTTAGTCTCTGTGATATCAGAACAACCAGTGCTAATTGCTACATCTAGCTGAGGATCTGAAGGCATTTTCAATTTTCGAACAATACTCTGCTGCTGCATACTGTCCAAACAATACCGAGCACGCAGATCGCAAAATACGTTGCGACAATGAATCCTGTCCGACTGTCGAAACGGCACAAACGAGGACAGTCCTTGGCCTTTCAGAGTAGGTCTTCTAATGAACATCGAGTCATTCCTCGATTGACCTGTTTTAGAGCTGGAAAATCTGGGGTAACAGGTTTCCTAGCCACAGACCAAACAAACAACCAAATTGTCCTCGCATTTCGAGGTACCGACTCATACAAGAATGCGATGACAGACATTGATTTTTTCATTACCAATTCAAGCCTCTGTGAATCATGCGGCGTTGCGTCAGGATTCTCTTCGGCATGGAACGAGTCTCGTGTTCTGGTCATGTCTATTCTCAATCAGACGAAGACCAAATACCCTTTAAGCAAGATAATCGTGACTGGCCATTCTCTTGGAGGAGCTTTGGCAACTCTAGCAACTGCTGAACTACGAAAAAACAATGTGTCTGTCGATATGGTAAGAAAACTTGTCCCTCCGTTTGTCTCGCACTCTAACCTCACTCTCAGTACACCTTTGGAAGTCCAAGAGTTGGGAACTCAGCATTCGCTAATTGGATGACATCTCTTCCTCCGTCACTGGGCAAGTCATACAGATTCACACATATGTCTGATCCAGTTCCTCAATACCCTAGCACCATAATCGGCTACGAGCATATCTCTCCAGAGTACTACATTTCTTCACCGACCAACCAAACAGTCAAAGCCGCTGACATAACAGAACTCAAGTCTGGGGAGAGCTGGTCTGGCAATCGACAGTGGTTCCGAATGGCAACTGCTGATCATGGGTGGTATTTTGGCAACATCACTGCCTGCTCGGACGGTGCTGCGTATCCATTCCCGATGGGCCTAGGAAACCTGAAAGGCTATGGACCTGGCTCCATTGTGACAGACAGCGGATGGCGGTCAACGGATTTTACTCTTCCACCTGACTTGAATCCGTCCCCAGGATCTGTCTCAACTGCTCCTCCTTGAGCCCATCGCCTGTGATGAAGATTTCAAAGGACAGGTATGAACTTACGACATTACGAACATAATGATAGAGTGGAGCTCAGGAACTTTACTATACATTTATCTAATTATAATACCTTCATAGACGTTCCGGATAGACATGTACTACTAAAATAGAAAGCAGTCGAAACATCTCTCATATGACCTAGTCACCATTGTTGTCAAGCATCTACCTCCAAGAAAAGAGAATGCTAATATGTTTCACAGGTCCAAATATGCTTCTAAGCTCTATAAATACCGTTCTAACCAGCCATATTGAGTGCGAATACAATACTAGCGCAACTCGGTTTTTGTTCCTTTGATACCGTTGATTTCCTCCTCGCTCAACTCAATACCGAACTCTTCTTGCAAAAGCTGAATCCTTTCTTGTTCAGTCCGACATTCTCTCACAACTCTGGTCTTTCCTCCGTCATTCTGCTTCAACACATCCTGTATAAACATCTTCTTCCCATACACACTTTTTCCATCCCACAAAAACTTGATCATAAGCACGAAATCGACCTGAAAAGGGGAATTTCTGTTGACCCACTCGCTCATGAGTACAAAGTCCCCGTGCAAATATGGCACCTCTGCAAAGCAATAGAACGACACCCACGGTCGATCTTTCTGATTGCGATACTGGTAGATCCACAACTTATGGTCGCTTGCAAACTGTGCAATTGGAGCAAGCTCATATCGCACTTCCTGCGTGCCCATGTTTAGCGACACCTCATGAGCAACCAGACGCATAGGTTTAGTCATTCCATCGCCGCCAAACGCAACATCGACTCCGTATTTCTCTCCACTAGGAAACGTGACAATGTTGATTATATGAGCTCTAAGGACCTGTTAGTATATAACAACAATAATGAAGAGACCAAATCTTACACCTCCATGAAAGGACCCTCAGGAACTCCATTCTTTCGATTCCGTCCTCGCACGCCTGTATGGTACACGTTGAACCCGATAGCTCGCAGCAATGCACAGAAGAAAATTGATATCTCCATGCAATACCCACCGCGACCTTTTTGAGTGAGGATCTTGTTATGTATGAACTTGGGATCCAGATTTGTGCTGTGATGGCTAGAATAGTGGAGAGCTAGATTTTCATATGGAACTTTGGTGATTTGCATTTGATGGAGCGCAGTGAGCAGTTTGACATCGCGAGGTGCTTCGGGACTGAGATTACAGTATTGTGGTAGTTCCAGAAAGTTCAGATAGTCGTTGATTTCGGATTGAGTGAAAACAATGGTTGGGGGAGCACTGTGGTTCGGATCAACATATGATTCTGTTTTGTCGGCCATTATGCTGCAACTAGAGCGCTGTTTGTGGAGAATATAGGGTTCTGAATCTTTCGTTCGGTCTCAGAGACTTATAAGCTTAGGAAGGTCCATAACATCCTTTACAGTCATACCCAAAACAGTCATCGAAAGGCGACATTAAAAGTACTCAGCTCTTTTTCCCATATATGGTTTAGCCCCGCTGCTCATTTTTTTCCCTAGTTGATTTGCACAAGTGCGACTATCATCACGACATAAGATTAGAAGACATGCTCCTTCAAGTGAAGCAATAGCATTTGGGAGTAATGTGTGATGTTTACGTTGAGTTCCAAGGTACCAAATCTGAAAAGGGGTGAAAAGATTCATACGGGAACTGAAGTTGAACCGGTTCGCACTTTGCTTTCTAGGTCTGAAATCTTGTGTAGAAGAGACAAAATTAAGCGGTAAGCATCTTTATAATAGTCGAAAAAACCGAGATGCATAAAATACTGACTACGAATGATTAGCGGAAGTGTTTCAGACGTTGAGTGTAGAAGGTTGCTAAAGTCCCATTTTCAGACTGTAGCTATATTGCAAAAAATGCAAAATTATGTTTCTATTCTCGCGCAGATGGGTATGTTTTTCATGTCAAAATTATCTATCTTCTTACTAATGATTAATCAGCCGAGCGGTCTAAGGCGTTGCACTCAAGCGGTTAGCTTTCCAAGTTGCTTTGAATCTTGCAATGGGATTTATCCCGCCTGGGTTCGAATCCCAGTTTGCGCAATTTTTTTTCCTTGTGCCTACTGCTGATCAGGTACGGCTTTTTGTGCTATTATTCATTGTCTAAGAAGTCTTTTTTTACTTTTGAGGTCATTATGTCTGAAATTGTGAGAGTCGGATTACTGCCTTATCTTGATATTGATTTGGGGTCAACTCTTACGAGAAACCACTTTGCTCTTTGCTGAAGGGACAGCAATTTTTGGCCAAAGGGCATAGAATTTTATGGGATCTATTGTTAGCAAATTCTGATTCAGGAACTTTAGCTGAGTCGGCCATTTTGTATGGCTATCTTGATCTGATTTTAGCAAGCAATACTTCTGTTGACAAAGTGACTCTGTTTGACAAGTCACAACATGATGATCACAATATCTGGCATATGGCAAACCAGATGGTGATGTGCATGAACCACAATAAGTCTAATAATGGCAACCGCTCATGTCAAAGTACCTTTGTAAAAGCCAAGGTAGAGAAACTGAAGTAGAGAATATATGACATCCCCTTACCATACAGGCAAGGTCCCAGAACCTGCTAGTGAATCATATACACAGAAACGACCCCTGTAGTATATCATCAAGTGACGCGACCTTCTCAGAGCTTTCCGGAAGACCCGACAGTAGGAATCTCATGAAGTCGTGATGCCAAGTCCTTTCTATCAGAAGATCAAGTTCAGAAAGGCTATAGTAGCGACATCAAAGTACTTGAATTGTGATGGGCAAGACTGATATTGTTCAAATGATATTATACCGCCCCATATCTAAGCTTGGAAGCTATGGTCTTGATCTTGTTTTGTCATCTGTCTCATCTTGCTTAACCGTAACTCTTGCTTGAGGCAACTTATCGGTGGGCTTTCAATCCCACCATTTCCAGGGGGACCATTCCTTCCGCCCCTTCAGGGCTTATAGCTGCCAGATAAGGGGGTGGTCTCTGTCTGCCCTTTACGTTCTTAGCAGTTGACGTGATGGAGTGGCCCAGGCGTTTTCATATGGACAAAAAATCGTCCGCTGTGTCTGACCACCAGCCCGGTTGAAAGCTGACGTCTTCACTGCCAGATTGAATACTCCCGTAGTCCCGGATCAGGTTATTGGATGTTCATGCTGGAGCTCGTGGTACTCGCGAATGATTCCATATACTACAACCTCCAATTGTGAATGTTTCCATATGTGCGGCTTCCATACTGCAACAGGGAAGTGGATGGATGCCTCATTTGAACCCAACTTCAGCAGACAATCTTGGCTCCGCAGCCGGCCAATCCCAAGCATGCAAATCGCGATCAAGCGCAGAATTATCATGAGCAGAAGATTGAAACGGGGAAACAATCTGTGGCGAGAAAGCTGTCGTCACGCCCTCCAATAGCGACGGGTCAATGGTGCGAGGCATGGCACTCCGAGACATAGCACTATGATAGGGCTGGTGTGCAGTTGGCGTAGCTGGAGACAAATAGTTGTTGACTACTGGCGCTGAAGTAATACCTCCTCGTTTGGTGTTGAAGTACTGCGGGATGTTGAGACTGAGTCTAGGACCACGAACTGGCTGGGAGGGGAGGGGAGGGGGCTGAAGCTGTGATGGCATGCTTTGAGCTGGGATGTCCTGCCTCTGGATTGGTTGTTGTGGTATTAGTTCTGTTGGTTCGGTTTGGGAAGGTAGAATATGAGACGGTGGCACCGCTGGCGCTGTTCGTTGAATGTGGGTGATCTGCTCGCGGAAATGGATAGTGACAGTGCCAAAGAAGGGAATGTATGTCGCCAACTCGTCCTTCTCGACTTCTGGAACATAGCCCCGATATCTGATGATGCGCGAAAGCTCTTGATAGCCTTGCTTTGCGAAGCGACCAAATGGTGCTTTTGAGGCGCGGTGGAATATCTCAGTGGCACATTCCATGCTGTCCCAATCATCTGATTGCTGCTGTTCACTAAGTCGATGTGGAGAGGTCAAGAGACCGAAGACTATTGTAGCAGCTGCCACGAATGCGACAAAGTCGATAGATTTTGTTTTATAGATGAAAACATTCGCAGGGTCTCGTAGAGTGAACCAGAGACGGAGGATTTGACGAGCGCAATCGAAGCAGAGAGTTCGACTGTCTTCGTAGCCGGCTTCAGTCATACTCTTCAGCATGTACGGCATGTGCAGCATCAGACGGGTTTGCCAGTAGTAGATTTGGCCGACCACCTTTTCCTGCCATTGGAAGGCCTCCTGGAAATTGGAAGGCGCATAATACGGTATCTGCCAAAAGCCTTCTGGCATCCTGGCACTCAAGGCTGCCAACTCTTGTTCAATTTCGGTCAAGGAGAGAGGAGTAAGACTAAGACCATGGATTTTGTCGGCGACTTTGCCAGCGATTTGCGCCAGTCGGGAGGTGAAGTCTCTGTTCTTGTACGCATCCGGTCCATTAGAGAAGGAGACTCTGTAATGCCCATCGTAAACGTCGTATGGAACTCCAAGAATCAAACTGGCAAAGCGTTCGCTGTGAAATAGGCCGTACCACATAAGGTCTTGACGTAATTTGCCCCGAGCCTTGTCAAATCCAAGTTTTTGCGCAAAACCAATAGCTCTTCGAGTTATCTGCCAGGCTTTCTGTGGCTCTCCCATATCGCCTAACATTTTCACGTGGAATAGGGCTACTTCACATCCTTCCAGAGTGGACATGTATTCTTCGTCGGAAAGAATGTACCGCTCCACAAGGTCGAGAAGTCGTTCCATTTCCGATTCGGGTGATTGAGTCAAGATGATGTGAAGTACATGCGCGCATGACATTGGCGACCCATAGTTCATTGCCCAGGATGCAAACTCTTTGATGGTCATTTTCTTGAGCTGTAGTTTATCAGTGTCGACAACTGTAGCCATGATTGAATTCCACCAGAAAGCGTTGGCCTCTAGTGCATGCTCAGTTACTTCAAGGGGAGGTAGAGAAGCTTTAAATATAGATCGAATTTTGTAGTCTTTCGGCCTTGAGTGGAGTGTGGGTGCACCTAGACCAAGATATCCATATGGATGACCAAACTGTTTAGCATTCGACTGCAATGCTGCATGGCCATTGCGCTCTTGGTATTTGGAGCTAGTGGGTATTGTGATCGTTACGTCGTCCATTAGTCGTGTATATATCGTTTTCGTATCTCGAGCGCAAGGTATTGGCTTGTCATCCTTTGTCTCCTGTATTTGTTGGACTAGATGCTCCAGGCGACTCACTCGATCCCTTAAATTGGTCTTTTGCTCCGGTGCAGGCTTACGGGGACCCGGTGACTGATCAGTACTGAAGGATGTCAGACACTGTCCTTCATGCAATTTGACACATACCATCTCAGTCCTCTAGAAAAACACTCGACGCACATTTGCGGGTAAGATGGCAATGGAGTACATCTAGTCTTTCTCCTTCTACCTATCAAAATGTTAGTCCTGGGCCATTGGAATCGCAATATAACGTACATTCAGTACAGCTGTGTGTTCCCTTCCTCATATCCTTGGTAATTCCACTTGATTCATAATGAAGGGGTGGAGTATCACTCCGTTCTCGCTTTGGTGGAGCCATAACAACAAAGCTTCACGCCGAACAGATCAATCTTCTCATCCACAACACATCGAAGACTGTAGGTTAAAAGAACGTAAGGTGGCAATACAATATATTAGCAAACAGGGAAGAGGGATTGTGAAGCGAACGATTCTGTTCCTGGTAGGTTCATGACAGGTTTAAAGAGGACTGGCGATAGATTCAAGGCATCAGTCGATATATTCCCTCATCTTCCTTGGCATCTAAAAACGAGAGACTGGTGAGTGTGGGGTATAAGCGCCATGATCAGATCGTGTTTCGTGTGTAGTGTTGAAGCCAACAAGTCGAGGTGAGGTAGTTCATAGCTTGATAATAACTGCTCATCAACATTCCTACCAATTAGAACCCTAATCAGGCCCATCGACCCGAGATTTGTCTTGTCTATTACTGCCCTGGTACTGGTCTTTACGTATAGGGTCGGCTTCGACCCGAAACATCTCTCTCATTGTGGATTTTGTCATTGGATGGAACCCTTGAAGTGAAGAGTTCGGCCTTTCCGAGACAAGAGACACTATTAATTCCGCAGTGATCCGCGTTGTCAATAGTTTTTAGACAGAAATACGTAAACGAGAAAAGGAGTTTTCCGTGTAGAACTGGTACTGCAAATTATTTGTGGTTGACAATTGACACTCTAAAGTACGGTATTATGATTGAAGGTGACTGAAAGTAGCGTTTGAGAGCGTTTCCACGCGGCCTGTTATGACTTGAAAGATCAGTAGTACTTGACAGTGAATATAGTGTGTCTGATGCAAGTATCGACTTGGGGTATTTGCTATATGCAGAAGATCCAGGTCATAGTGAAGCTCTTGGTAGCAAAAAGCAACCTGGCAGCTCAACAAATGCCTTTTCAGGATCGAGAATGTCTTCAATTGAGAGCTCCGATACAGGTAGTATATTCGGAGGATGTAGAGTGAATGACTTCAGCATACAAACAACAATGGAAAAGGGGCGATAGGCAGAAGCTCGTTAGAGCACAATGATGCCATCTCGTCTTTGGCTCTTCTTCATCAATACCAGATGCGGGCTTCTGGTGCCATCGATGTACCTCGCTGACAGGCCTGAGATCCCTGAGATGAAGTAAAGTGAGTATCCTAGAGAGAGTATTGATCTCTACGAGAGTTGGAGGACGTTCACATGGTAATGAAAAGGTGGCTGGTGTTTTTCTGGAGCTTGAGCCACACCCACCATATGGAGAAAGTTTAGATAGCGTCAAAAGTTGAACAAGGATGATGATGAACTTTTTCCCCCTCAACGCTGTTTTGATTGTGTGGATGACCATTGAAGAAAATTTCCTAAATTTTCAACCAGGTTGAACAATTGACACTACTAAGTACTAGTATCGGTCTCTCGCTCTTCCAGTACACTATCTACACTCAATTCTACTCTTGACCTTTGTTCATACACCACATTCTGAGTCAGTCAAACCAATATACTACTACAACAACATCAATGGCTTCCAATA